TCCCTGGACAACACTGTCAGGCCACCCTCCAGAAACAGAGGGATGTTACTACTACTACTACTACTACTACTACTACTACTACTACTACTACTACTACTACTACTACTACTACTACTAGACAGCTGGTCGTCTGGTCATCTCTCTGAACTGCTCTCGGAAGGGAGATGTATACAGGCTCATATTCCGATTGGTAGCCATGCAGCTAGCGAGTCCGATGTTATGTCGGATACAGTGTTTGCGAATCTCGTTCACCGTGGCAACTTACATCGTGCCATGGCGGGTTTATCCCAGGGTGGTGGTGGTAGACCTCTCAAGCCAAATGAAATCGCAGTACCTTCCACTGGTGCGACGGTTCTGGATGTACTTCGCGATAAGCACCCGACTCCTGTGGAGCCACCTGAAACCGTTTTGTTGGAGAATGATGCAGCACCGGTCAATGACATAATATTTGAAGGTATTTCAGCAGCAGGCATTAAGAGGGTGGCTGACAGTATGAAGGGATCCGGTGGTCCGTCTGGCCTGGACGTGCAGGCCTGGCAGCGTATGCTCTCGGCCTTTAAAGGTGCTTCTTCAAATTTGGCTGCCGCTCTTGCTGCTGCTGCCAAGAGGATATGCACGACGGATGTAGACCCTGCTTCTCTGTCGGCTTTTGTTGCGGCACGGCTCGTGGCATTGGACAAGAGACCAGGTGTGCGCCCGATTGCGGTGGGGGAAGTCGCTCGCCGGATCATCGCTAAGGCTGTGTTGCAGTGTATATCGTCTGATATTGCGACAGCCGTGATCCCTCATCAGCTGTGTGTTGGTGCGCCGGCGGCTTGTGAGGCGGCTGTGCGTGCCGTCCAGGAACAATATCTCGCCGATGACACTGATGCAATCTTACTCATCGATGCATCTAATGCCTTTAACGCAATCAACAGGAAGGCCGCCTTGCATAATATCGCACGTGTGTGTCCACCGATGGAAAAAATTTGTCGTAATACATATGGTGCGGATATTCCACTATTTCTTCCTGGTGGCGTAGTATTGTACTCGCACGAGGGAACTTGTCAGGGAGACCCTCTGGCCATGGCCATGTTTGCTCTTGCGGTGGCTCCTATGATTTGTAAACTTCGTGAACAGCACCCTGATGTGAACCAATGCTGGTACGCGGATGATGGCGAGTCTGGTGGCAGATTGGCGGCCGTGCATTCGTTTTGGAAATCAATCGAGGAGATTGGCCCGAAGTATGGATATTACCCTAATGCAGCCAAGACAGTTCTGCTGGTGAAACCCGCCCTGGAGTCAGAAGCCCTAGAGCTGTTCGACCCAACGGGTATACATGTGCTGACCAATGGTGTTCGTTATCTTGGTGGGGCCATTGGTGAGGAGGAATTTGTACAGGAGAGTCTGTGTCGTCATGTTTCCGTATGGTGCAGGGAGGTCGGTACTCTCTCCACTCTGGCGGAAACCCAGCCACATGCTGCATATTCTGTTTTCTCCCGTGGATTGAGGTCGCGTTGGCGCTACCATATGTGCTCACATGGCTTGCCGGAGCCGGATGCTTTCGGCAGGCTAGATAATGTGATTGACAACAATTTGATACCAGCAATCACTGGTCGGAAGAACATGTCCGCCATTGAGCGGAGTCTCATCGGCTTGCCTGTTAAGTCCGGTGGTCTCTCAATTCCTGCCATTGGGCCTCATGCAGTGCATCAGTGGACCTCCAGTATGGCCTCGGCACGGCCGGTGATTGATTTGCTTCGTCGCCCTGATGCTGACATTGCTCCGGCTGATTTGCAGGCGGAGGTAATGGCGTTGCGAAATGCCGAACGTCGGAGAATGGCTACTGCGGCTAAGGAGGCTCAGGTTGCTTTGCGTCCTGAGCTCAGCCCATGTCAGCGAGTGCTGTTGGAGATTGCTGCTGATGCTGGCGTGTCCAGTTGGCTAACGGCTGAGCCTCTGGCTGTGAACGGCTTTGCGCTAAATAAAGCATGTTTCCGGGATGGTCTCGCCCTGCGCTATGGCTGGGGTATTGATGGCCTCCCACCAACTTGTGTGTGTGGTAGAGACATGTCTGTCGACCATGCATTGACATGCCCTACAGGGGGCTACCCAAGTCTGCGACACAATGAGCTTCGTGATGTGCTGGTGGAGGTGATGACTTCTGCCATCCCGGATGTTCAAACAGAGCCACCGCTTTTGCCGTTGGATGGTGAACAACTTCACGGCGCTACCGCTAATCGTGCTGCAGAGGCTCGATTGGATATCCGTGCAAGGGGCTTTTGGTCGCCACAGCAAGATGCATTCTTTGATGTGAGGGTTACTCACCCCTCGGCATCTTTGCTGTCGCGACAGGAAGTCCTTGCACAGATTTCCCGGAATGAACATCAGAAGAAGCGGGCCTATCTTCAGCGTGTTGTCGATGTCGAGAGGGGGTCATTCACTCCGCTCGTATTTTCGACAAACGGCGTATGTGGCACGGAGTGCTCTCGTGCATTGAAGAACATTGTTCAGCTGGTGGTTAACAAGCATAGTGACCTCCAGTACGCTGTTGTGATGGCACAGCTACGCTGCAAAATTGCATTTGTTTTGCTGAGGTGGTCAATCACGTGCCTCCGTGGTTGCAGAGCGTCTTACTTGAGGAAGAGAATAGGCCCATCTTTTCTCGACCAATGTCGCCTTCTGTCCATGTAACCGCCTTCGGTATTCATATGTTGGCCTATTTAACATTGGCATGCTCTGCGGATTTGTAGGCATGCTAGGCAATTTAAACATTATCCTGCAAAGTATTTTGTAGGTGCTTGACTACTATACTACGTCATGTATTACAATTGGTACATGACTTAATAATAGCCGTTTGGCATGGTACAATAACCTTTTTTGTTTTATTTTTTATTTTTAATGGCTTTCTCTTCTTCCTCGGATGGTTTACAATTTGTATCACAATTATTTGTGGGTTCAGCAATAAAGGATGTGACTACTACTACTGCTGCTGCTGCTGCTGCTGCTACTGCTACTGCTACTGCTACTGCTACTACTACTACTACTACTACTACTACTGTCATGGCCGCGCTTGGCGGGTTTGTGACTTGGCTTAGATCAGTCTAGTGGCTACCCAGGTAGACGACCAATATAGTCGCCATCCAAGTTGCTAGCTCACATAGAACGACAGGTTTCTAATTCCACTTGAACAGTGTTTATTTGAACCATTGCAGTACTAGATCGAAAGATCAAGTGTGTAGAGTCAAAAGACCAAAGCAGGAGAGAGTCGGAGTGACTCTCTCAGAATCGAGAGGAGTAGTGAGCTCCCCGAGAATCGAGGATGAATGTTAGCAAAACAGCTCCTTATATATGCTACATTATGTGATCAAAAGTATACAGTGGCAAGAATGCGTAAGGATTATTTCTATATTACAAACAGTGGTGCAATATGTGCAATCAGCCAAACTAGAATATAGTACAAAGAATGATCAATCAATACGGGGAGCTCGCTCACCCACATTACATGAAAGGACTCCGAGGCTCTTCGTGCGACGGGCCTGGAGTATGCTGTCGGAAGTTGCTGCAGCTAGAGCACGCCGCCTCCGTACGCTGCCTTGGTCGTTGGTCACCCTTCATCTCCTGCCCGTAGGCTCTTCCCTCTCATTACCCCGTAGGGTGCTTCACGGTCAAGCCGTGACCTCTCCCAAAAAGGGATAACGGAGTCCGCAGTGCGCGAAGCACTTGCAGGACCCTTTACGTCGTACGACGCGAGAAGAGGTGCCATGCTTGCTCGACTAACAAATGTATCAGCTCCCTTGCAGGACTAAGCAGGGTCCCCTCAAGCTCAACAGTGTAGTGAGTACAATGCTAACGACTTGTACTGAAGGTGTAGCCGCCGTACGACAACACTTGTGACTCGAGGCCACGAGTTGTAAGCCATGATTGCTCAACTAACGAAAGTGCCAAATCCTTCGCGGGACTAATCATGGTTCTTACAGAACTCTAGAATATTTCGGAGCCCAGCTTTTGGCTGCTGAATCTCATTGCGTGGTCGCTTTCACGACGAGTCGAGTCCGGGTCATGACACTACTACTACTACTACTACTACTACTACTACTACTACTACTACTACTACTACTACTACTACTACTACTACTATCAATCAGCTACCCTTTGGGGTCACGCCGCCCTCTACTCAGAGAACTGAGCGCAAAGTGAGGGGCAGTGGCGCAAACAAAACAGGAAGTACAGCAAAATGAATAGAAAAAAAGGGAATCAAAACAAGCTGCCATATTGATGGAAAGGGACTCACAGAGGAAGGAAATATCACAAACCATATGAACAGTCTGCTGTAGGTCCACTATAACATGCAACGACTGAAAAAGGAACAAAGTTAATGTGAACATGATGTTCTGTTCAACAATAACGTTTGTACGCGTACTGCTTCGGCCTTCATGAACCAGGAAAGCACAATCTTGAGCTGGAGGGTGGGCACCGAACGTCCCACAAGGGCTCCACAAGACGTACTTTCACGAAACGACGAGGAGTATGCGTAGCAAGCTAACATCACTACACCATCGCCGCACGACGACTGGCCACTCAGGTCCAAACAACACGACAAATTCACAATTCCAGCTATACACCGCGCAGGAATAAATTGTTGCGAGTGTGACCTGTATCCTTTCTCATCCAGGAATCCACTGGTTTTGCCGAACGCCACTGCATTGTTTCAGGCTGGGGATTGATCCGAGGGCTCGCCACGCCACTGCGGAGGATGCGGAAAGGACGCAAGAAGACGGTGACGGCAACAAATTACCCGCCCTGGTCGTCAGCTCACTGAATGTCCTTCCGCGCGAGCGAAACCGGCTGCAAGGCATGAAAAGCCTACTGCCAGTCAATACCCCCCCCCCCCACAGACACGCACGCACATACACACACACACACACACACACACACACACACACGCGCTCACGCACACGTGCACACACACATACACATCTAAGTGTTTACAGCAACGACAGCAACACGAGACAACTTACCAGTACCATTTGCCGTCCTTATGTTAGCCGGAGCCAACAGGATAAGGCAAAGAAAGAGGCACAGTTGCTGGCATCTCTATTGGACAAAGGAAAAAAAGAAAAGAAAATGCAGGATATTATAGTGATTACAAAGGCACCAGCAGCAGCACCACCACCAGCATCAGCACCAGCAGCACCAGCAGCAGCCACAACGACAGCAACAAGATTAAGGACACCAGAAGCACTTGTGTCACCATCATCATCAAAGCTGCAATATGATAGATAACCCATCACTATCGTCACCACCACCACCGCCGCCGCCGCCACCACCGCCGCCACCGCCGCCACCATCACCATCAAAGCTGCAATATGATAGATAACCCATCACTATCGTCACCACCACCACCGCCGCCGCCGCCACCACCGCCGCCACCATCACCACCACCAGTATCACCACCACCATCACCATCACCACCATCACCACCACCACCACCACCACCACCACCACTACCGCCATCACCACCGCCGCTGCCACCACCAGTATCATCACCATCGCCGCCGCCACCACCACCACTACCACCACCACCACCACTACCGCCATCATCATCACCACCACCACCACCACTACCGCCATCATCACCACCATAACTGCTGCCGCCACCACTAGCAGTAGCAGCATCCATCACCGTAGCTAACAAAGCAACATCAGCAGCAGCAGCACCACCACCACTGTGACCACCAATACAACCAGCAAGAGCACAACAGGCAATAGCAGCAGTGCCACCACCACCACCACCAAGGTCAACACTAATGCCACCACCACCACCACCAAGGTCAACACTAATGCCACCACCACCACCACCACCAAGGTCAACACTAATGCCACCACCACCACCACCAAGGTCAACACTAATGCCACCACCACCACCACCACCACCAAGGTCAACACTAATGCCACCACCACCACCACCAAGGTCAACACTAATGCCACCACAACCACCGTGACCAAGGTCAACACTCTAATGCCACCACCACCACCACCAAGGTCAACACTAGCTAATGCCACCACCACCACCACCAGGGTCAACACTAATGCCACCACCACCACCACCACCAAGGTCAACACTAATGCCACCACCACCACCACCACCACCACCAAGGTCAACACTAATGCCACCACCACCACCACCAAGGTCAACACTAATGCCACCACCACCACCACCAAGGTCAACACTAATGCCACCACCACCACCACCAAGGTCAACACTAATGCCACCACCACCACGACCAAGGTCAACACTAGTGCCACCACCACCACCGTGACCAAGGTCAACACTAATGCCACCACCCCAGCACCTTCACAACCATGATTAAAACATGTGCACTGGCGCCAGGAGAAACCGACACCAGCACTCCAAGCAAGACCCACACCAGGACAAACACCCTGAGGAGCAGAATTACAGCCACTAAGCTGCACTAAGTTACCTCTTGTTCCCTCACTAGGTCAAATTTCACCCACGGAATAGTTGATTGCACTGAAGGTTTGTTCACATGGATGTTTGTCCTCGGTCGACTTTCCACGGAGTTCAGCTAGGTAAGCATGCAAGCATTTTACGGAGTACAAGCCGCACTTGAAACACCTATGATTCACCTCCCAAAAGTCTTGTGCGCCTTATACTACGATGGTCAAATTTGCGGTGGTGAACGGGGTGGATGTGTGAATTTCGTGACAGAAAATCTGAGTGCGGCTTATCTTCTCTCGTACTCCCGTGCGGCTTATACTCTGGAAAATACAGTACACACACGATTTGACTTGATCAATCCGCGATCAAACCCACCCCGGTATGATGAGTTTGAGCGGTGTCCTTCAGAACGAGGTGTCCATTAGCAGGTGCCCAGGAAATGGCACAAACCGTGAGCCATAGAAGCTGCGATTCATCCCGACGTGACATTGCTGCCACGTGGCAACTGAAAGCCAACTGCCCCTAGATGAATGTGTTCATGAGGAACGCACCACAGCTGATCCGTAGTTGGCTCATTCCGCGATGAAGCGCTCCAGGTAGGTATTCCACCCTGCGCCAGCTGAGATGGAATTGTGTAATGGCGCATCCGCACGCCACTTTTGATCCTGGCCGGCTTTGTGACACCTAGCCATCCATACTGCCATCCATACTGTGTTATTTCTGTTCCCAAGACAACATGCATCGGCATATATACAGTACGTATTGCCTATACGGTTGGCGGCTATAGTAATATAGCAGCTATAGTGATCAACTTCTCAAATTCATTTTCGTTTGCCATACCTAAGTATACACAGTTACCGCGTATAGTAATAATTGTCTATAGTAATACATCGCCTATTGTGATCAAATTCAATTTTCAAAAGGCCTCTACTACATTATTTTTGCGTCGGCTAAAGTAATTGATGTGGAATGTAGCCTCACCAGCACTGCTACTATCTGTGACTGTGGGGACCACCATTCAATGTCTCGTCCTCCTCAAACCGTACCCGAACTCCCCCCCCCCCCCCTCTCTCTCTCTCTCTCTCTCAGCTCTCTTTTTATCTGTCTTGTCTTACTCTTTTTTCTTTGTCAGCTTTCCTGGTGGTTTATATGTGCTTTTCAAGTAAATAAAAAATAATAATCAAGTGGTGTCAGAGGCGAACAGGAAGTTACTTCTTAGTGAAAAATTCGCTCAGTGTTGTTTCGGGAGTTCTGCCTGTAGTATTAGTTGTCCAAAATACCTCCATTGTGAGCATATGATGACGTTGTGTGCCAGGAGCCTTGGCTGCATAGGCGTTGATTGATTGATTGATTTTATTTTACTTCGCAAGTTCAAACGGGTTCCTGGCCCAGTTATATGAAAGCGAAGGATAGAATTTGCCAAAATCCTAATGAGCAACAGCATAGGCAATATTATCATAGAAGTGGAGTACTATGCGAGCGAGAATACTGAGAAGAAAGGAACATGTCAAAACCTGACGAAACACAACCTATTCCAGGCATACATAAGGAAGGCAGGCTAGCTTAACCTTTTGAGCACGCGTGACGTTCTGACACGTCATGACCACTGCCACTGTGACACGCGTGACGTTCTAGAACGTCACGAGTCAGTGCGGAACTACATCGACATCGCGTTTCTTACGTGGCGTGGCGTCGAGCTGCCAGTACCGCTGCACAGAGGACTCCTAGGATGTACGAGTACAGTAACAAAAAAATGCGAGTCGCTCCGTATGTTTGAACTGGAGTTACATGCGCGTGCATACATTTCAAAATACCAATTTCGCGTAAAACTACCTTTATAAAAACGGTCATAAGTTTCGTAATCTTTGTCGTATTTCCAAAACTAAAAACAGTTCTGTGCTCAGGATACATGAATCGTTTGAAATCAAGTTTGCGCACATAGATTGAATTTAAAGATTTTACTGCGTGGCAGAGGTTTTCAATGGGCCCGGGCTCAAAAGGTTAAAATCTTGCAATCTGGATACGGTGAGCACCTCTCTAGGCAAACTGTTCCACAGCGATGCTCCTGCTGTGGCGAATCTGCATGATAGGGTGTATCAAGTTCTCAAAGTAGGAGTACACAGGACGTACGCTGCAACCAACTATGCAGTGTGTATGTGCACGGCGCGCTGAGTCTTTTGATACCCCACTCGCATACAGTAAATGCAGTATCGGTCATAGTAATATATCGCTTTAAGTGACAAAAATGCTCAAAATCAAAGACCAACGCTATAGGCGATACTGACTGTTAGCGGATTCTTTTCAAAAGCCGATCGATCAACCGATCAATCGGTGAAAGTCAAATCACACGGAGCTCACCCAGCCAATAGGACCGCACAACCAGAGATACCAAAACGCCAGGAAGGCTCAAGATCACCGTGGTTAGTTTCGAGATAACAGCGTCAAAGCCATGTTCGCGTCCTAGTGTTGTTCATGTATGCAGTCACATCAGCGGCCACGACTCAGTCAGGGTTCATAGTCCGATAAAAAACGTTTTTCAGGTGCAGTAGGTCAGTTCTAGTACCCCGATAGGGTCAATCCTATGCTTTTCTATCCTGCCCATCTCCTTTGAATAGGGGTCACATCATGGCAACCAGAAAGATAAAAACGTTCACAGACTGACGAAAGACAAGTTTGCATTGTTCAAATATTGTCCTCCGCCAACAAGGCCGTAAAATGAAGACAGGGTAGTGGACAAGGTGTGTGTGTGTGGGTGGGTGGGGGGCAGCGGCAAGACCAAAACTATCTTCGGTTCCGAGTTGCAGCCCGGAGGTGCCTCGCAAAGTTTGCAACAAAATTGAATAGGGCAAAGTAATTTGATGAAGAGGCAGACGACCGTCGTAAACGTATCGGCTGAGCTGTGTACTCGAAGTCCAGCAACGTGATCAGACATGGTATGACACTCATCAAGAAGATGTACAACGATCAACGGTCAACTTTAGCTCCCGGGTACGACAAACTATGCCACAATTTGCGGAGATGCATTCCTAAATTTTCAACCCGTACCAAGAATGATATTTCCTGGGCATCGTTTTGGGGTTTTCGTTGTAGAACAATCAGACATAAGCAAAGTCTCACCTGCATTGGGGTCCTGGGACGCTGCGTTCTTGTGGCCATTGCCGAGGGCCAAACACTCGACAATTCACAAGGCCGCAGGAGAATTTGACCTCGAATACATGTGGGCGGCCAATGTTAGTGAATGGTTTTTCGAAACACAAGCAAACCCTCCGGAATACTAGCAGCTTGAATGGGCACAACGCGAGGAAAATTGCAAACGCCCCTCACACAACATTAACACGAACAAAGCAGAAGCTTTCAGGTGAAAGAGAAACTCCGACCCAAGCTACCTCATTTCACGGTTGTGATGATTGTCAGTCTCGGTTAGCACAGGCCAGGAGCTGTCGGTACTGCCCTACGCTACAGTCAGTGTTGCTGAACTTTTGGTCCTTTCTTGTGTCACTCTGTGACGGTCACCTCCTCAGAGGCTCCTGACCTACAACTAAAATATTCCTGCATGCAGGTAGCAACAAGAGTGCATAATATACCCAATAATATGTACTCTTCGGGGCAAGAGTCCATTTTTGTAAGCAACTGCCTGGTCCTGGGTTGCATTGGTCAGTGCAGATGCGCAGAGCGCATGCAGACAGTGATCGGTGATGCACGCCATGCGCCATGCATGCAGTGGTTGGATGTAGAGGCCTGACTAGTAGACCTCTACACTAAAATACAGGTTCCTGCACGAGTAGACCTACTACTTTACTTCACTACTAGTATATGTACTACCTTTTGTACAATGTAGTACTTAGTAGGTCTACCATGCATGGTCGATCTACGAGGGCCAGATTTACCGACGGACACTGCGTCGAATTATCGCCCCGTTTCACTTTTGCCGATTGTTTCTAAGATCCTTGAGAAGGTAGTACATCGGCAAATGATTAGGTTCCTTCAAGATCACGCTGAGCTTCGTATTCTCCCAGACGAGCAATTCGCCTACCGCAGAGGGCACTCCTGTGAGGATGCGTTAACTCTCGCAGTAAACCGCTGGATGATGAGTGTGGACAAGGGCGAGTATTGCGGGGTTGTACTCGTGGACATGAGCAAGGCCTTCGATCGGGTACGCCATGAACTACTACTTAACGAGCTTCAAGCTATTGGCATAAGCGGAGTAGCACTACAGTGGTTCTCCAGCTATCTCCAGGGTCGACGACAACAGGTGAAAATTGGAAATAACAGAGGAGACGAGACACATTGTACACGAGGCGTTCCGCAAGGGTCGGTGCTAGGGCCTCTGTTATTCTCTTTGTACGTGCGACATGTCCCTGGAGTACTTCGCCACGCAGAGTCCCAACAGTATGCTGACGATATCGCCTTTTATATACACTGTCAGTCTACTGGAGAACTTCAGCACAAGTTGACAAGTGAGTTGAACAGACTAAATACGTACCTTGGAAGCATTGGTCTCATCTTGAATGCCCAGAAAACAAAGTTCATGGTGCTTCGGAAGAAGGCTCTGCCTCTTCCGCCGGATCTTACCATTGCATGCGGTGGTGTCGATATTCGACCTTCTGCCACAGCGCGTTATCTTGGCCTCATTATTGACCAACACCTCACCTTTGAGGATCAAGTCAACCATGTGTGTACATCTGTTTATAAGAAGATAGGAGCATTCCGCCGCTGCCGCCGTACAGTAGATCACACAACTAAGCGAATATTTTATTTATCCCTCATCCAATCCACTATTGAATACGCCAGCAACTCGTATGCTCACTGTCTTACACCATCTTTATACTCTCGCCTTGTTACTTTAAGTCATATCAGCATGAAACAGGTTTTTGGTCTCCCTCGCCGTACCCCGACTGTCTTTGTTTTGCGGCACGCTAAGTTATACTCCCTCGAATCTCGTCTCAACTTGAGGCTTTTTATTTTTGTTTTCCGCTGTATTCATCAGCTTACAAGTCCTCTTCTTTCCTCAATGTTCACCCTCCGGTCGGCTGCTACTTGCACCGAGAGGCGCACTCGAGGGCAATCATTCTCTTCACTTTCTTTGCCCGCTGCTACCACTAGATATGGCATGTTCTCCATTTCTTTCCTTGGCGCTGATAGGTGGAATTCTCTGCCTGTCTCGTGTCGTCAGGTTGAGCATCTATCCGTTTTTGTTTCGCTCTGTAAAGAGCACTTAGGGTTCCCTGTAACAAGACGGCAACGTCTGTAGGGCCTTCCCTATCAAAATAATAAATTCTACTACTACTACTACTACTACACTCGAACAGGATGTACAGGTTCCTGCACGAGTACGAGGGCAGTACCGGGGAATCCAGCCCGCGCCGCGATAGCGGCAAGGGCTGGATGAACAGCGGTACTGGCCGAGTATGAGTGACTGGAACGTGTTTCCCGTGTGCACCCAACGTCCCAAGCCAAATAAAGAGATACATGACAGACACACCTGCATTGTGTTTTGTGATTGTTTTCTGGTACAGTTTTTTGTAGTAGTCCATAGTGCTTTTTTTCTCGCGGTGCCATTGACATTGTCGACTGGGCATCGGGCATTCTGGCTGTTCTGTTCCTACGGATTTTTCCCACGTCTTGATCGGAAACCTCGGCAAATTGCACGGATCCTGCAGGTTGCTGAGCATTGCGCGCTTTGGTTGAGGCTCATCCGGGTCGTCCAAGATCTCCTTCGCGAGCGACTCCACAATAAAAGTTTCAGTCTCTTCCTCAACTTTTCGGAGGAGCTCATTCGCATCGCCAATATCGTTCAACAAAGGGGCTTCTTTCTCCCAGTTCCAGATCAAATGTTGGAGCGCGATGATGACATTTGTGGTTGCAAACAGTCGCTCTTCTGCTTTAGTTATTTTATTAGTAACCAATGAAAGACCTTGAAGTAGAGTCAGTTCAGTGGCTACTGGCACTGACGCCAGTGACGCCTGACGGGCAGTTGAATCCGTTCCTGCCCGTCGTCAAGTGACGACGGGCAGTGGAATCCGTTCCTGCCCGTCGTCACTTGACGACGGGCAGTGGAATCCGTTCCTGCCCGTCGTCACTTGACGACGGGCAGTGGATCCAGTTCCATCACCTTTGAGCAGGCAGGACCGCGCTTTCCAGCCCGCGCTGTTTGATCTGTCATTGGTCAACTCCAAGGCGACAATCACGTGACATACGGGAACTACTAGTACGTAGGATGGGAATGGACAAAGTGAAAAAAGGATCAAAGGCAAAGCTGGTCCTTGGCCTTCGTCGTTCGTCATCACTTTGTCATAGTAGCTAGTTCGCTGTGATGTTTAGCTTGTTCTCGTCTCAGTGAGTGCGCTCACCTTCCGGACCCTTTCTTACGTTAAACGGTAAAGGTATAGTTTAGGGTCCCAAATTATTTTTAGTGGGTCAGCATGCTCTACAGAGTCCCAGGCATGCACATTACACATAGCCATAGGCCTTGGCCACAACTGACATCGAATACGATGTGGATGGACAACCACTGGTGTATGCAAAATCACCTTACGATGCGAACGAAGACGGCGCAAAGCCGGACCATGAAAATCGCCTGAGTTTGAAGCTCGGTGATGCCGTGCGTGTCTTGAACACCTCCATGGGCAAGGGATGGTGGTGGGTAGAAGTCGATGGCGAGTCTGGCTACGTTCCATCATCATTCCTTGGCACTGAGGATGACCTGCGCGGCGCGGAGGAAGCCTTCTGGCAGAACGACGAATATTTTGACTTCTACCCACCACCATCCCTTGCCCATGGAGGTGTTCAAGACACGCACTGCATCACCGAGCTTCAAACTCAGGCGATTTTCATGGTCCTTTGCGCCGTCTTCGTTCGCATCGTAAGGTGATTTTGCATACACCAGTGGTTGTCCATCCACATCGTATTCGATGTCAGTTGTGGCCAAGGCCTATGGCTATGTGTAATGTGCATGCCTGGGACTCTGTAGAGCATGCTGACCCACTAAAATAATTTGGGACCCTAAACTATACCTTTACCCGTTAAACTTTCATAACTTGGAATCTTCCAAGTTGGAAGGCAGTTTGAACTTTCCATGTTGGTTTGCCCATTCTAGACGTGATGCAGGTAAGCATCAGGTCGTTGATTGTATTGTATTGTTTTCTTTATTTTACTTCGCAAAGTAAAAGGGGATCGTTGCCCAACAATAATAATAATTATGATAGCGAAGGGTGTGTGACCCCTGACATTACATAATAATAATAATCTGTCGTAATCAAATGTCAGTCAGTACTCCGTAGGGAGGGATAAAAGAGCAGCAGAAGTGCAGAAGGCTAAAAGTAGGCAAGGTGTATCACTGTTGTATAAAGCCTGGTTCACACTAGGCCGATTTTCCGGCCGGCGCTCCCACACCGACTCCGACAAGAAATCGACCAACTGTGTCGGATGAGTCGGACTAGCTGTTCACACAGTGAGTGCGTTCGATTACACACTTGAATCGATTCATGAATCCATTCGCATGCATTCAAGTCGTTCGATTTCATGTCATGAGCCCTGGAATCGATTCGGAATCCATTCCCTCTATTCACATGGGGTGATGTGAATAGCGCGAATCGATTCATGAATCGATTCGTGAATCGATTCGCGCGTGTAATCGAACGCACTCACTGGCTGCGTTCGATCATGCACTTGAATCGATTCATGAATCCATTCGCATGCATTCAAGTCATTCGATTTCATGTCTTGAGCCCTGGAATCGATTCGGAATCCATTCCCCCTATTCACATGGGGTGATGTGAATAGCGCGAATCGATTCAGGAATCGATTCGAGTGCATAATCGAACGCACTCAGTGAGTGCGTTCGATTATGCACGCGAATCGATTCACGAATCGATTCATGAATCGATTCGCGCTATTCACATCACCCCATGTGAATAGGGTGAATGAATTCCGAATCGATTCCAGGGCTCATGACGTGAAATCGAACGACTTGAATGCATGCGAATGGATTCATGAATCGATTCAAAGTGCATAATCGAACGCAGCCAGTGAGTGCGTTCGATTATGCATGCGAATCGATTCGCGCTATTCACATCACCCCATGCATGTGAATGGAGTGAATGGATTCCGAATCGATTCCAGGGCTCATGACATGAAAATCGAACGACTTGAATGCACTTGAATTGATTCATGAATCGATTCAAGTGTGTAATCGAACGCAGCCACTGGTGGTGGGCAATTTTGCTTGCACTATAGTTGTACTTGTAGGCCTGTCTGTTACGCACGTACACGCGGTAGATCTACACAACCGCGCTAGACCGCGGAAATGAGATAGTTTTTACATGAGCTACAGGGCCAAAGGCGTGAAAAGGCTTGTGTCTAGTAGCGATCTAGCGCAGCCAGTTCACGGTCTGCACCGATGCTGTCTGCTGTCATGGTGAAAGCCTACAGTGATTGGTCCGATGACCGCTCCATCACGTGCAATAGAGAGGTTCAGTTACACGTTTTTTGCCCTTTTCAAAACGCGGTTCAAATCTCACGTTTAATAATAGCTATGA